GAAGCCAGGTTTGGAGGAGAGCTCGTGAAATCAAACTTCGGTTAGTTCATTACCACATCAATAACGCTGGTGTCTTTCTGCGGGTGGAGTTCAGCTCCTTCAGCTGCAGTCCTGCTGAGAGGACGTGGTCCTCTGTGACTACATGTACCAGCATGCTCTGCTCCTGAAACCACGTTACTGTGACACCAGCTGCTACAGAAATGAAACTAAATCAGGGAGCTCGAGTTTGAAGAAATGCATGAAACAGGAGAGTCTGTCCTCCTGGGTTAGACGGGCCCTCAGGTGGGCAGCCACCAGTGTGGGCAGCCACCAGTGTGGGCAGCCACCAGTGTGGGCAGCCACCAGTGTGGGCACCCACCTGTGTGGGCACCCACCTGTGTGGGCGTGCAGCTGAAAGCCTGGTTTACCTGTGAGTGCATGAAACCGGGTTTTTTTTATCTGGGAGGTTAAAGCCTTTGTGGGGCACCAAACCTTTTCATATGGAGGAAATAAACTCTTTAAAGGTCTCAGGCTGAAGCCAGACTCCACCCAGCTCCACCCAGACCCCGCCGTGTTTATTCTGCTGGTTTTAGTCAGTGTGTCTTTGGACAGTCCAAACCACGATGATGCATTACTGCCTACTCGTACTTTGCAAACACCCTGTTCAGCACAGCTGTCTTACCTTGGCGTACCTGTTGCTCCAGGCCCACCAATGATCTTCCTCACAGAGACACGCCCTCGGTGCTGGATGGTCAGGTCTCCTTACTGGGCAGGAAATGGGAAACCTGAATGTTCATTACATCATCATCACTTCCTGAGCCGGGACTGATAATCTGATCCATGGACCAGATCAGGGCATCTTTAGTTACTTTCTTTAGTTACTTTCTGAGTAACTCCTCGCAGAGGGGGCGGAGCGCAGAGGGGCGGGTCCAGATGCGATGCCTTCTCATCACTTTCTCCATCATTTCTGAGCGGTCATGGCTTCATTCGTTCAGACCCACGTCAGTTCAATTCAATTTTATTCATATAGCGCCAAATCACAACAAAAGTCTCCTCAAGGCGCTTCATAGATGCAGAGAAAAACCCAACAATCATATGACCCCCTATGAGCAGCACTTTGGCGACAGTGGGAAGAAAAACTCCCTTTGAACAGGAAGAAACCTCCAGCAGAACCAGGCTCAGGGAGGGGCGGGGTCTGCTGTGATTGGTTGGGGTGAGAGCATCCTGCATGTTTAAACGTGTGCCTTTGGTTAAGCTTTGCAGGCTGTGTGAGGGCGGCTGCAGCTGAGCTCTGGTTTACTTGTGTTTTGATCGCAGGCTCGTTTTCTGCTGTTTCTGTGTCAGAATCATTTTCACATAGTTGTTTTCTAACGTTAAGAGCAGCCTCGGGGTGAGAGCGGCGCAGCAGGGGCCTCGGGTTTACCAGCCAGTCTGCTGCCAGTCACAAAGTGGAGCCATTACGATCTTCCAGGAAAAAGTGCATGAAAACAAATGAAAAGAAGCGAGAGCGGGAGAGCGGCGTTTAATCCTCCTAAGCCTCAGCTTGTGCTGGAGCCGTGTACCTGCGCGCTCGCCGGGTTGTTGTGGAATGACCTGAATATGCCAGACGTTGCTGCAGGCTGTGTTTTGTTGTTTCGCTGTCTTCCTTCCTGGGAGGAGAGGTGGGAGACTTTGGCTGAATTTGGAGGGCTTTGCCAGAGAGGGGGAGGAGCTGGATAAACAGGCGTCAGATGAAACATTCATGATTCTCTGCAGGAAAATTAGATCATTGCTGCAGCTGAAAGGTCGCAGCGAGGCCGGTGCATGAAGTCAAAGGCCAATACATTAGGAACAGGTTGGAGAAGAGGGTTAAAACAGCGTTCCTGTGATGACGGGACGGGGCGACACCCGGCTGACGGCTGTGGAGCTCATGAACATTTTACTGCAGTGCACCCGGAGACCAGCAGGGGGCCCCGCTTTGCTTTGTTTTCTAATTATGTAAAAATGTAAATTTCTCCCTGTTTTTATTTCTCGGGGAATTCAGGACCTCTGCAGGTCCTTGAGCAGCCTTAAAACAAATCTTTGAATATTGTTAGAATTTCGTTATGATTCCCAGAGCTGGGAATAACGAACAGCCTTTAACCACAGAGCGACACAGCCAGCATCTCTGACCGCTCTCCCGTTTAAGCTCTGTCCTGTCTCCTGGTTCCTCGCCGCATCTCCTCGCTTGGATTTCTGTTTCCAGGAAGCAGATGAAGGAGCAGGGAGGCCAGTGTGGCGAGGGTCCAGGCCCCGAGCGGCGTGCTCGCGTGATTTCTCTCAATGTAGAACATGCACGTTAACAGTCTCATCCTTAGACTCAGTGACAAGCTCACACACTGTGTAGTCGATGGACACGCCCACTCTGGTGACCTCGAGCTGCTGCCATCTTGGCCTGGAGCGAGGCCTGGTTGGCGGACAGCTCGTGCGTCGTTGCTCCAGGATGAAGGCTGACGAGAGATCACAGTGAAATATGAAGGATGGAGTCAAAGGCGGAGACTCTATTGTGTTCTATTATGAATAGAGACGATAAATAAATGAGTGACGAGCGTGATGATGGCAGCTTTAGCGGTGCTGTAGGCAGGCGCTGCACGGACGCCTTCCTGACCGCACGTTGCAGTTAAGGTGGACGTTACACAGGGATCACAGAGGCAGCGGGCTGAGGAGGCGGTGCCGTGATGGGAGCTGGCGACGTCATCGCGGGGAGGAGGAGTTTATACGGGTCGTAGTTGATACAGGAGGAGGTGTGGCGGATGCATCACTGTCTCCTCCTGTTTGACCCAATAATAAAAGTCCGGTTTTATTCTGTGACCTCAGTAAGTCCTGATGTTTATGAAGTCTGAGGTCACAGAGCGAG